GACCCTAGATTTGTTCTCAAGTTTTCCCCCATGACTAATTCGTTCGCTTTCGTGAATGCCATCGAGGTCGTTTCCGCGCCGGATAGTTTGATCGGGGACGAGGGGATGTCTCTCTTCCCGGTTAACAGCTTCCAAGGCTTGTCCAAGCATGGTTACCAAGTTGTTTATAGGTTGAACATGGGGGGGCCTTTGATTACACCACTAAATGACACCCTAGGAAGGACTTGGATACCTGATACTGATTATCTTGAGGATAAAGCCTTTGCTTTAAAAGCCTCTACTTCAACAAGTGCAATCAATTACCCTGAGATGCTAACCCCATGGATTGCACCAGCAACGGTTTATTCGTCCCTCATTGAGATGGCGGTGCCCGAGGCTGGCACAATAAACCCGAACTTCAACATAACATGGCAGATGAAAGTCGATAAAGTGTTCGATTATTTGCTCAGGTTGCATTTCTGCGACATTATCAGCAAGTCACTCAACACCCTGTATTTCAATGTGTATATCAATGGTAAAATGGCCATCTCCGGGTTGGATTTGTCAAGCATAACAGGTGGTCTGGGTGTTCCATACTACAAAGATATAGTAGTGAATGCTTCCACATTCACCAATGGACTAACCGTTCAGATAGGTCCGCTAAACAAGGATACAGGAGAAACTAATGCGATTCTTAATGGCTTGGAGGTGATGAAAATGAGCAACTCGGCCGAGAGTTTGGATGGGGAATTCGGTGTCGATGGAAGCTCGACCTCGAGCAACAAGGGTACGGTGGCTATTGTCGGTTTTGCCATGATGTTCGGTGCCTTTGTGGGTCTTGGTGCAATGGTTATTAGATGGAAGAGGAGACCCCAAGATTGGCAAAAGAGGAATAGCTTTTCTTCATGGCTACTTCCACTCCATGCTGGAGACAGTAGCTTCTTGAGCAAGTCAGCTGGTTCCCAGAAAAGCACCTTCAACTCATCATCACTAGGCTTAGGCCGTTACTTCTCCTTGGCAGAGTTGCAAGAAGCAACTAAGAACTTCGACTCGAGTGCGATAATCGGGGTTGGTGGGTTTGGCAATGTGTATTTAGGCACGATCGATGAAGGAACCCAAGTTGCTGTCAAGAGAGGGAACCCACAATCCGAGCAAGGTATCACAGAATTCCAGACAGAAATCCAGATGTTGTCAAAGCTGAGGCACAGACACTTGGTGTCACTGATTGGTTATTGCGACGAGAACAGCGAAATGATCCTCGTCTACGAGTACATGTCCAATGGACCTTTCAGGGATCACTTGTACGGGAAAAACTTGCCATCTCTATCATGGAAGAAGAGGCTCGAGATTTGCATCGGAGCGGCTCGCGGACTTCACTACCTTCACACCGGTACCGCACAAGGCATCATTCACCGCGATGTTAAGACCACCAATATTTTGCTAGACGATGCCTTCGTTGCCAAGGTAGCCGATTTCGGGCTGTCAAAAGACACACCCATGGGGCAGAATCATGTTAGTACTGCTGTGAAAGGCAGTTTCGGATACTTAGATCCCGAATACTTCAGGAGGCAACAATTAACCGAAAAATCCGATGTTTACTCATTCGGCGTAGTCCTATTCGAGACCTTATGCGCAAGGCCCGCCATTAACCCACAGTTGCCGAGAGAGCAGGTTAACTTGGCCGAATGGGCAATGCAATGGAAGAGGAAAGGCTTGCTCGAAAAAGTCATTGATCCCCACCTTGTTGGTGCCATCAATGCCGAATCGATGAACAAATTCGCCGAGGCTGCCGAGAAATGCTTGGCCGAATACGGTGTCGACAGGCCTTCAATGGGGGATGTTTTATGGAACCTGGAACATGCATTGCAGTTGCAAGAATCATCCTCGGAGGGAAAATCAGAAGAGGAAAACAGACAATCAAACGCCGCCACAACACCGGCTCCGGTCGTCAGTCCACCATCCGAAACCATCCCTCCACCAGCTCCTCAGCCAGAAACCAATCCATCAGCCGGAGGTGATCAGAACATTGAACACTCAGGATCTGCAATGTTTGCACAGTTTCAAGGGCTGAATGGTCGATAAAAAAATACTGCCGCTTGAGAATTAGGATCATAAATTCTGGCATTCCTTTTTACTCATAAAAGAATATATATAAAAATATATAAATATGGGCAGCACTTCTGCATGTAACGACTGAACTCTCTTTCCTGGTCTGTTGTGTGGGGTATTCAATTTCTAAATTCAACAATTAATATATATGCACTGTACTTCTGTTTATTTTATTTCTCGCTTATTTATATTATTATTATTATATGCATTTTTTATTACAATGACTTGCAACTGCTTTTACTGGTCAAGGAAGAAATTTTCAGAAGTATAAATCATTGGTTTAGGTTAAACAAAAATTAGAATAAACTATACATGTCCCTTATGTTTTTGGTCTGTTTAATTTTAATTATTAGCTAAAAAAATGATTTTTGTCCTTTACACTATAAATACATGTATTTTTTTATATCTTCTTCTTCACCATAAATACAACTTCCATAGTCGCGTGTTTTCCTCTTCTTCCTACTCCTCCTCCATCATAAATGTAATCATCATCTCCACATCCATATCCACCTAAACTACGCCCACTAAGCCCACCACCATACGAACCAAAGCGACTAGAATAACCAAATGATGGATCTCCATAATATCCATAAAAACCATAACCGCCACCAAACCCCCCAAAGCCACCTCCACCGTAACCAACATAATCTCCAAATCTACTGCCAAACAAGAGAATGAACATGACAAAGAGATAAACAAATCTCTCATTGAATTGCTTTCTTGATTTGCTTGATAGCAGAATGAGAGCTAGAATGGGTTTGAGGAAATAACGGGAGAATGGAAAACTCAATGTAGAGGAGAGGACTGAGGAGATCATTAATGATGTTTTGCTTGTAGTTTATGTTAGTTGGTAGAGGTGAGTGCGACTTAAGAATGGAAGCTGAGGCTGTGATGGGTTGTTAATGAAAGTGAAGATGATAATTGATGGGACCAAATGCTATTTACCTTTGTTTTTGCAATGTTGAAGTTACCTTACAGAGCAGAGCTTTTGGGAGGAAAAGTGGGATGGAGAAGCGGATATAGTGGATTTGGATAGAGCTTTTGGTCCTAGCGGTCTGTTTTTCACCGGCGATGGAACTGGTTTTCAAGTGTGGAAATGGACAGAACCAGTTGCCATATCCTGATGCCTTGCAGCATTTTATAACATATTCATCAATATGTATTTTTGGTGTTATTATTTCATTTTGTTCTTCCTTCCAGGGAGGTTTTCCGGTTCACAGGAGAAATCGTTGTTCGGAGAAAACAATTTTACGTTCCTGGTTGAATGTTTAGTATCACTGAGCCACTTCACCTTAAAGTGTGCCATAAAGTTCATAGAAATAACACATTGCATGCAGCTGTGTGATCGCTGATGATTCCCGTTTTTTTTTTTTTTGTTAATGGGCTAACGACGAATGGACCATAACTGAATGAATCAATAACTTAAAAGATTAAAATGATTCTTTTTTTAACTGGTGACAAAAATCAGACAGATAAAAAATATAGGGACCATCAGTAAATTTTACCCTTTTATTAATGTATTAATTTATATTTTTATTATTTTAAAATAATTAAATTATAATTTTATCATATATATATATATATACATATATTTGTACAAATCAAATTACCTTAGTGGTAAAAATGATTGTTATTATCCTCAGAGGTCCAAGTTCTAACACTAGACACTGCAAGATTTAAGTTTTCATTATCAAATGATTAATAATCTTCAAATTGTATATTTCTTAAGCTAACAATTAAAAATTTTATTGGTAAGTTTTCCTTTTCTAATATCTGAAATTATTATCCTTTCTTCATTTGCTGGACCTATTTTATTTTAAATTCTCATATTAGTTGTTTTATCTTGATAAGTGTTCATAACGAATCAATTTATTCCCGAGTTAAATTTTTTAACCCTTCTCTAATATACCTTATAAAATAAAATGAATGAAATAATTTGAAAATAAATTACATTTTCAACTTAACTTCTTTTCTAATGTATTGATGATAAATTTTTGGTGTAGTTTAATTTATTTTTGGTGTTTAAAGTTTTTTTTTTGCCAAAGTAGATGTCGAACATTTTCAAAATTACCATTTTAAGGTTAATTTCATCGCAAACGTTAAAATTGAGTTAATCAATCAGTATTTGGCGCATGGGTTAGTTTTTTATTTTCTTTAATTTTTAATTGTTTTAAAAAATAAATTCATAACTTTTTCATAAAAAAACCCAACTTTTCATATTTTTCACAAAACACCCCAAAATTCACAAACTCTAATTCTCAAATCCTAAAATCAAAAAAATAAAAATCCCTAATCTCAAAACCCATTATTGTCATCAGCCATCATTGTCAGACGCCCACCCACCTATCTTTGAACCTCTACTGCATATCATTATTGTGTTATTACCCTAATATCTTAAATCCTAAACTTAAATCTCATTAAATCCCTAAATTCCCAATGCCTTAATCCCTATGTTTCTGACACTGATGTCCTTTATTAATATACCACAAGCTTAATTGACATAAACTTACATGTCAAGTGAATAGTTTAAGCTGTTTTTAAAGAACTTAACATCAGTTTAATGATAATAACTGATGGTGTTATCAATATGAACCTATTAATAACATTAGAAAAGTAAAGGGAATAAGTGATTCCAAATCATAATAGAATGATCAAATCTCTAGTTTTTGACATAATACAGAGACTAAAATCCAAAATTAGACCTAAATCTTTTCGCTCCGTACGCAGTATACCCCACACCGTACAATCCATATGAACTTGCAACGTGTTACATTATTATTGGCCCACGCTACAACGATGTGGAGGGCAACTATTACCAAATAATCTCACGCCACCTGTATATATAGTATGTAGCACATATTCTGTACATTTGGCTTTAAGTTTTCATCCTTTTTTGTTCCTCTTTATTTCCTCTCTTTAATCAGTAAAATGTAAGAGCAAATCAATTTCGAGTTTTGTATTCAAATTTCTTCAATTTTAGGGTTTCAAACTCTGATTCTAGTGATCTGATCTAATGGAGCCTCCGTTGCAGGATACGCCAACAAATTACGGAAGCTCAAACGGTATTACATATTTAATCGCCGATGTTTAGTTAATGATGTTTGGTTGACGGTATCTTAGTATGATATCGGGATGGTCGAGGAGGCAGCCGGAGACAGTAATATTTCTTAAAGATTTTAATATATTTTAGATATTTTTTTATTTTTTTTATTAATAATATGTTTTTACATTTATAATTTTATAAGTCTTTTTCTTTTAATATATATAAATCATGTGTACGTCTTCGATTCCATACATTTATGGAGATTACAGGTTGAATGCGTTTACAATTGTTTTGGAAGATTCGAAGATGATGGATAATTTAAATAGTGAATTAATAAATTAATGAGGTCGGTTAAGAGTGTCTTAGTTCTATGGTGGCTGAGGTCATTCAATTATGAAAATTTTAAAATATTATATATTTTAGATGTTTATTTTATATTTTCTATTGATAATATATTTTCCACTTTAAAATTTAATTTAGTTCATCCCTCCTAAACGGCATGAAATCATGTGTTTACAATTGCTTAGGATTTAAATTTAAAGACAATGGAGTCTATTAAAATTTTTAATGGTGTTTGCATTCAACTTACCTTTTAAATCATTTTAATGCTGCATTTTGATCTTTCGGTATATGATGATCATCGTTTGTTTTATTTGCTTTAGTTTTTTCGCCTTTTCGCGTTCCGTTAACTTGAACATTACTGTTATGTTTATGACTCTGTCTTGGAAGTCAGAACGCTTTTGATTTAATTTTCAACTGTATAAACATCTAAAATATAAAAATGAGAAGAAAAAAGAGAGATTAATATTATCCACCTAATATCTAGTCTGTTTGGCTTCTGTTTGTCTTTTGATAATCGTTTTTATCTTCTCCGTAATTGTTTACAGGGTCTTGGTCTAATAGTCCTAAAAGGAAGAAAATGTCGAGTGATTCAAAAGAATGCGATAGTGCATCAGCCACTAGAAATCCTTTTGATGGAACTGAAAAGAAGAAGCGTAAGATCTCTCCGAATGTTATTGATTTTTCCGACCCATTTGCATTCACTAATATGCTTGAAACCCATACTACTGGTGGCAAATATGGTAGTGCAACAAAAGAAGTAGAAGCCCTTTTTTCTAGGAATGCACTTTTGGTGAGCAAAATGCTTGCTTTGCATCCTTATCTTTCTAATGTGTCAATGGATATCGGAAAATGCCAGAGGAAAGAGGCTTCAAAGGTGCCAAATCGACAGCTTGCTCATTTGTCACGGAATTTTTTCATTGACTTGGAGGATGACTCAGTTAGAAGTGGTATCACATCAACAGCGTCACCTGTAGTGGTTCTTGATTCAGATAATGAAGAAAACAAAAATCCGAGGCCTCTCTGCGCTTTTCAGGAAATTGTATTGAAGAAACCATCTGAGGTGTTACACTCCAAGGAGGAGAAAATGGTATGTTCTTTTGCACAAATTTATATTTCGAGTTGTGCGTTTGAGGTTAATATGAACATTGAATTTAAACACTATGTTACTCAGACTCAGGTAAGTGTCAGATACGAGTGCATATATGTATCTGACACGAGTATGGTTAGATTTTTCAAAAAAAAATTCATATATTTGAAGAATCCTTGAAGGTCATATCCTCGTATTTAAGTGACAGACACTCAAACACGACCACAAATTCTTTATAAAATAGTTTAAATACTTTAGGGTTATAAAATAAGTTTTAATTTTTTCTGAAGTAAAAAACTCTTTTTAGTTTACTTCGAATATTCCATGGTTCAAAGTTATAAGATTTTATGTTTTGATTATTTTTACGTATGATTTAATTCAAACCCAACATGAAAGAGGGGAATTACGTTATTCAAATATTAGATGAAATTTCTGTTTGTATGTGTTTTTGTGAGAAGTAATAAGAGATTAAGTTTTTAGAGTCTTTGCATTTTTGACAAAAATGAAGTTGTATCCCTTCCCCTCCGAAATAGCATGGTTTGAGATGGAGCAACATGGAATGAAGCTTAGGGACTAATGTCTCTTCATTCTTGTTCCGACTGTTAAAAGGGTCAAACAAGATGACACGAGAGAGAAATTTAACTTTAGACAGTTTTGGATGCACGTCAAGGTAGAAGAGGCTAAATCATCCATTTAAATATAATTATATGTTGAGTAACCTTTTGTAATGAAAAATATATAATGAAAATAAATTGTCCAGGGAAGCCATAGGACCTCAATCTACCCTGCAGAAAATTTTATTTTGTTTAAAGGAAATTAACCACATAATCCACTACTAAGTGATGCAAATATACGTTATAGGTATTTTGTTTAATGAAAATAAACTGTTATATTAATGTTTGATTATAGGTCTTTTGAGTTAATACTTATAAAATACCCATAGGTGAGAGGGTACTTTGAGCACAATGGCAATAGTCTTCAAGCTCTAATGTGTATGTTTCATGTTTTTTATTCTACCTTTATCTAAATTTAATTTTGTTGGCGTCATTGATTTGTTTCAGGCAGGGGAGTCTATGACAAACAATTCCCTGAAAGAAAATGATAGTCTAACCAGTAAAACTGGTCTCAAGAAGGATCAAGACAACAAAAATCCAAGGCCTTTGCACCCTTTTCAGGAAATTGTATTGAAGAAGCCATTTGGGGTATTACCCTCCAAGGTGAAAACCTAAGTTCTCGTGCACATATTTATATTCTGAGTTGTGTGTTTGAGGATTGAAATATGGATATAAAAGGTACTATGAACATTGAATGTACATGTATATTCTATGAAAACTTGAATTTACAAGTATTATTTATATATATATATATATGAAAAAACAAAAACCTTTTTGTTTACTTTGCTTATGTCGATGTTCAAAGTTATAAGCCTTAATGTTTTAGTTCTTTTATGTATGACAATGATCTAGTTCAACTCACATCCACCCAACAAAGAAGTGGGGCAATACTGCATTCAAATATTTACATTCGCTCTTAGTTATCTTTAGCTTATCTCTAGGTCTTTACAAGTTTTAATGAATAGCCTTTGAGGACAATCATGGAATCTTACGGTAGTGTCCATGAATAAAATATTAGATCATCTTCCTTCTTGTATGTGTTTTTCAGATTGAGAGAAATTTTAAGTTTTTTGTCTTTCCACTTTTGACAAAAAAATGAAGTTTTTTCCTTCTCCTCATCGAACGACATGGTCTGAGATGGAGCAAAATGAAATGACACTGGAGATAATTTGAACTTTAGAAAGTTGTGGATGCACATCAAGGTCTAAGAGATTAAATTCATCCGTTTGAATATAATTTTGTTCAGAGGAAATTAACATTATAATACACTATTAAGCGATGCAAATATCTGTGATTGTATAATTCAAAATTTTCTCTTTATTTACTTACTAGTTTCTTCTCAATCATATTGGGGATATGTTTAATGCCACTGTTATTTTAATGCTAGATTATAGGTCTTTTGAGTTAATACTTATAAAATACTCTAGTGTATTTCATTTAAAATAGTTATGGTCTTCAAGCTCTAAAGTGTGTTTCATGTTTTCTATTCTATTTTTATCCAATCTTAATTTGATTGGTGTGATTGATTTGTTTCAGGTCCGGAAGTCAATGAGTAACAGAAGCTGCCTTGAAGAAAATGTTAGTCTAACCAGTGAAATTGATATAAAGAAGGATGAAGACAACAAAAATCCAAGGCCTCTGCACTCTTCTCAGGAAATTGTATTGAATAAGCCTTCCTCGAAGGAGAAAACGGTATGTTCTTGTGCACGTATTTATATTTTGAGTTGTGCGTTTGAAGGTTGAAATAGTGATATAAAACTCACTACGAACATCGACTTTATATTCCTATTTTTTTGAAAACTTGAATTTACATGTTCAAGTTGTATGCCTTTATGTTTTTGTTCTTTTATGTATGATAATGATTTAATTCAACCCACATTCACCCAACAAGAAAGTGGGCAAAATCGGCATTCAAATATTTGCATTACCTCTTAGTCATAGTCTTTAGTTTATCTCCAGGCCTTTACAAGGTTCATTGATTAGCCTTTGAAGATATCCATGGAATCTTAAACCAGTGCCCATGAATAAAATATTAGATTCTCTTTCTGATTGTATGAGTGTTTGTGAGGAAGATAGAGTAAGTTTTTAGTCTTTCCATTTTTAACAAAGACAAGGTTTTTCCCTGTTCCTCATTGAAACGGTATGGTATGGGATTAAGCAAATTGAAATGAAGCTTAGGGACCAATGATTCTTCCTCACTTGTTCTGCATGTTAAAAGGGTCAAATAGGATGACATGGGAGAAAATTTTTACTTTAGAAAGTTGTGGATGCATATCAAGGTCTAGAGGCTAAATATTTAAACAGAATTTTATTGAGAGGAAATTAACAACATATGCACTAGTAAGTGATGCAATTATATTGTCTAATTCATATTTTTCTCTTAATTTGTTTGTCAGTTTCATCTCAATCATATTGGGGACATGTTCAATGTTACTGTCATATTAACGATTGATTATAGGTGTTTCGAGTTAATGCTTATAAAATACTCATATTTGAGTGTATTTCGAGTATAATGGTTTTTTTCTTCAAGCTCTTTGTGTATGTTTTATCTTTTTTATTTTTATTCAATCTTAATGTGATTGGTGTGATTGATGTGTTTCAGGTTGGGGAGTGTATGAGTAATAAGAGTAATCCGAAAGAATATGTTGGTCTAACCAGTGAAACTGATCTCAAGAAGGATGAAGGTGTTTATCTTGGTGTTGAAGATGCTGATACTCAAAGTGAGAATGGAGATGATGGTTTAGGAGATATTTGGCAGGAGATGTCAATGGCATTAGAGATTTCCAAGGTATTCCTGACTCATGAAAAGTAATTGGCGGATACCTCTTTTTAGAACTACATTGTTTTGGGCCAACACTTGAGCAGATGACCTGATGCAGTTATTTTGAACTTTTTATTGCTTGAAATTGTATAGACAACCAAACATTTGGTTTTAGTTTTGATCTGTTGTTAGCTTGGTCTCATTCCAATTGTGATTGGAAAAAAATAACTGAGCAAAACACATAATAGCAGAGTTCATAACATATAATCTTGCTAGATGGAATTAGTACCTTGTCTAACTTCGTTTGTGCTTGATATTACTTACTAGCATAGAGTTCATGAAAGATTGTGGTAGGATAAGAGTTCATAACACATAGGTCATGCTTCTCTCCTTCATGTAGAATAAGAAACCTCTTTTTTACATATTAGAATCATTATTAATGTGTTACAATTATTGAAATTCAGGCAATTAGTTATCCCATAGCAAGTATCTCCTATATTCATTATGGTTTGCAATGTTTTGGTAGGATGGTTTTGAGGATCTTTCAAGTGAACGGATGTCAGATGATGAGGATTGCGACCATTCTTTTGTATTGAAGGATGATATTGGTTACGTGTGTCGCATTTGCGGAGTTATTGATAGAGGAATTGAGACCATAATTGAGGTCCAGTTTAACAAGGTAAATCAATCATTCATCTCATTCTTATAGGCCTTGTCCGCTCAGTTCCTGGCTGAAAATTCCATTGTATTTCTGTTTCCTTTTATTTGTTCAGGTTAAAAAGAGTACACGCACTTACGCCGTAGAAGGATGGAATGCCAAATATAGAGGGTCGACTGAAACTGTTGGGATTAAGTTGTCTGAAGGTGATCTAACAGTAACTGACATAGCTGCACATTCAAGACATATGAAGCAAATGAAACCTCATCAATTAGAGGGCTTTAATTTTCTACTGAGCAATTTGGTATCAGAGAACCCTGGGGGCTGCATCCTGGCCCATGCACCTGGATCTGGAAAGACGTTTATGATAATCAACTTCATGCAAAGTTTCCTAGCCAAATATCCACAAGCTAAACCACTAGTAGTTCTTCCGAAAGGTATCTTGGCTACATGGAAAAAGGAATTCCATACGTGGCAAGTAGAGGATATTCAACTGCTTGATTTTTATTCTGTGAAAGCTGAGAATAGGTCTCAGCAATTAGAGGTGCTGAAGCAGTGGGTTGGGAACAAGAGTATCCTTCTTCTGGGGTACAAATAAGGATGGCAAACGGGCGGGTCGGGTGCGGATACCCCCTCTCCCATCCCCATACCCACCTACTATTTTTCAATCCACCACCCGCCCACCACCCATGATGGGTACAAATTTTCAAATTCACACCCGTCCACGCGGGTACATTTTCAAATATATCCCCACACCCACTACCCACTAGCGACATATCCATCTAGACCCGCCTGACAACAAACTAATGAGATGTTGGAGTTGGTTCTCAGACAGTTTGTGATGGGGTAGCAGCGCATTCTTCAATTTGTCAAAGGAGTGACTCTACGAATGTTATGAAGACAGATTGTAGGGAGCATGTAGTCGCAGAGCTGGATTGTTGTGTTGCTTTCGATGTTAATGCTCATAGTGCGCCTAATATGGGTTTTGAGGGGCTAAAGAACATGGAAACTGCTGCTTTTGATGTTAATGCTTATAGTACGGCTAATTTGTGTTTAGATGGACAGTATGGGCTAAAGAACATGGAAAGTGACGTGGTTAGTGAGATTATGGGTTTAATCAAAGAGCCGAATATTTCCCTAATTAAATATCAGATTAAAGACTAAATATCCTTAATATTTAGTTAAATTATATGTTATATATTATATAATATTAAAATTTATAAATTAGTCTCTAAAATTACACCTAAATTCATAATGGTCCAAAATTTAATAGATATTTAACTGGGCGGGCGGATGTGGGGCGGGCGGATGCGGGACGGGTAATGTCTCAAACCCATTACTCACCCACCACCCACCACCCACGATGGGTATCACTTTATAAATCCACACCCGCCCACTACCCGCTAAAATTATACCCATCCCCGTTCCAATTGGAGCGGATGCGGTGCGGAATCCACGAAACTGTACCCGTTTGCCATCCCTAGGTACAAACAGTTTTCTACCATAATTTGTGATGGTGGAAACGGCCAGACTTCCGTTTCTTGCCAGGAGATACTGCTCAAAGCACCTTCAATTCTAATTTTGGATGAAGGCCACACACCAAGGAATGAAAATACCGATGTGTTACAATCCCTTGCGAAAGTTCAAACACCTCGAAAAGTTGTACTTTCAGGAACTATCTATCAAAATCATGTCAAAGAGGTATTTAACATATTGAATCTTGTTCGGCCAAAGTTTCTCAGGTCAGACTCTTCGAAGTTAATAATGAGGAGGGTAATGAGCAAGGTACAAATACCTGGTGGGAGGAAACAGTTCAAAGCCGGAGCAGATGCTGCTTTTTATGATTCGGTGGAGCACGCTTTGCAGAAGGATGAGAATTTTGAGAGGAAAGTCTCAGTCATACATGATCTACGTGAGATGACCAGCAAAGTTCTTCATTACTACAAAGGTGATTTTTTGGATGAGCTTCCTGGACCTATTGATTTCACTGTTGAACTTGGTCTTAGTCCCAGACAGATGGATGAAGTTCAGAAGCTAAAAAGATATCAAAGGAGGTTCAAGATTTCATCTGTTGGTAGTTCTCTTTATTTACATCCTAGACTGGGTTCTTTCTCTGAGAAATGCGACACGACTGATGATAATATCAATGACAAGATGGATGATTTGTTAGACAAATTAGATATCAAAGAAGGAGCCAAAGCAAAGTTCTTTCTTAATATGTTAAATTTATGTGAATCAGCCGGTGAGAAGCTCCTTGTTTTTAGTCAGTATCTAATCCCCTTAAATTTTTTAGAGAGATTATCTGTGAAAATGAAGGGTTGGCATTCAGGAACTGAGATTTTCTCAATCACTGGTGAATCAAGTAATGAACAAAGGGAGTTGTATATGGATCGCTTCAACAACTCTCCCGATGCTAGAGTTTTCTTTGGATCTATCAAGGCTTGTGGAGAGGGAATTTCTTTGGTCGGGGCATCACGAATTATAATCTTGGATGTTCATCTTAACCCATCCGTCACCCGACAAGCCATAGGCCGTGCATTTCGACCTGGACAAAAGAAGAAAGTGTATTCCTATAGACTGATAGCAAGTGATTCTCCTGAAGAGGAGGATCATGCTACTTGTTTCAAGAAGGAATTAATCGCAAAGATGTGGTTTGAGTGGAACAAGTATTCTGGTGACCAAGTGTTTGATATGGAAAGTGTTAACATGAATGAGTGCAATGATCTGTTTTTGGAAAGTCCATTGTTAAGAGAAGATATTAAGTCTCTGTACAAAAGGTTCGTTCTTTTATTCGAATCAATTCTCATTTATTTTCTATTGGTTTTAGCATTCCAACTTCTATTCTCCATATTTTTCAGGTAGATGCCAAGACCGTGGCCAGGCAGCTACCATGAACACAAGTAATTTCTCACTTTTTTTGTAGTAATTCAGTCCACAATGTAGGTAAGTTTCATATGAAATCAAATATTAACCAGCTATAGAAATCACCTTCGTTGACAGTTCCAGTTGACTTTTGTAATTGGGTTAAACTTTCATTTCTTTAAAAGCAGTTCTCTCTTCTAAGAACCCTTATTTCTGATTTATGCATATGAAAATGTTATTCAGAATTTGAACCAAATGAACATGTAAATTCTGGTTGACTAATTTCTTTAGAAGCTCTAATGTTTAACTTTATGAGTGAAAATTTCTGTTTTCCATAGTGATATCTTCATGCAATTTCTTGTTTGACAGCATGTTTTTCTTGCATAACTCAGAATTTACTAAAAGTATGTGCTAAAAATGTGTATTCTTTTTGGCTTATTGACACCACCAATCAAAAGTGAGAAATTTGCAGATGTAATGTCAATGTCAAAATGCAGATGAGACAGCGGGCCACAAAGCATGCAGAGCACCAATTTGAAAATCATCATGTCCACCTGCACCTACAACAAGCCAATTCCTACCTTATATTTCAAAACATATATATATTAATTATATATATTTATCCCTGAAGTTGCACTAATTTATACAAATCTTCCCTTTCACCTTATTAACAAAAAATCATATATCTTTACAAATATGCAGAATCACCAATCAATTTCTAACGGAGCTGAGAGTTTGTCTCTGCTTCTGGTGCTTAACGGTTCCTCTCCATAAGAATGATTAATGCAAGTTTAAACAGCAGTCGAGTACATTTCATGCTACAAAATCATGTAACAACTGAGAGGAACTGAACCCCTGTTGTTGATTGCCTGGGTTTATGCATTCGAAATCAGCTGTTTCGGCTGCTACGGAAGTTGTTATAGGATTGTACATTTCATCACCTCTCATTGCAACGAAATTTTGATGATTGCTTCCACCCGGCATACTTATGCTACCATCCTCGTAATGCTGCAATCCCAAAGTGAGAGATACACCATTTCCACTGTCAAACCTCCCCAACTCCGACACATTGTAAGCAGTGGCTGCCATAAACCGGTGGCTACCGCCATCTAGATGAACACTTGAATCGGGAATGTTAGATATGCCCATAGTAAGCCTCTGCTCCTCCTTTAGCTTCTGTAACACATATTCGGTTTCAGCTTCTCCATATATGACTTTCAGGAAACCAGCTTCAGTAGTTGATCCTGAAATATCTACATTGTTGGATTTCAAATCCATCAGCTGCCCGTTGCTACATCTCTCTATTGCTGATGAACTCCCACTTTGTTGCAGATCTTCACCTCTGTCCTCGGAGGTCATTGTATCACCTTTTGTTGCTTTGACCGCATTATCAGATGAAGAATTAGAGTCCATTTCTGCGTCCGCAAATTCTTCCTTGTGCATCTCTTCGACCATAGGCTTCCATAGGCGCACCCGGGCATTTATGAACCAATTCGAAACCTGGACAGATGCAAATATATCATTTAGGCATCAACAATGAAAGATATTTATAGAAACTACGGCATCATTTATTGGACGTGTCTGAAGATATTACAGCACCTACTGATACACAAACTCGTTAAAACCTACTTGGCTACTTCTATCGTATATCACTTCTTCCGATTCCACCACCAATTTCAAACTTACCAACACTTTCCCGGCCGAGTTTCAAACGAGCAATCCTTACACCAAAAACAAATTGCTTCATTTATATGTTAGTACGATGAGTTGTTCGCAGATTACCTGACTTCTAGTCAAGCCTGTCTGTCTTGCTAGCATGATCTTATCAGAATCCTTCGGGTAGCTGGAGGACAACCGAAATAGCAATGAGTGTGATGTTGAGAAATCAAACAGGAGGGGAGTGTTACATCAAAACTTACGGATTTAGAAAATGCTCAAACAGCCACGCACGAAGTATTGAAACGGAGCTTTCGGGGAGCCCTCTCTGTGGCCTCCATGCATGTTGTTGCATCATACCAAACTGCTGAAGAGCTCTCTGTTGCCTCAGCTGCTGGTCCACATAACGCAGACGAGTAATCCTTACTTCTTTACTGTTTTCTGAAGTATCATGTTCTCCGAGACTTGTACGTGTTGACTGAATTTGCCCATTAATTGCATCTTGCAGGCACCGAAAATGGCGTGATATAGTCTGTGACGCAAGCGTAGTGTAAGGCTTAGCAGCTCCACACCCTGCTACCGCATCAAATGATGATACAACAATCTGCATCTGATGATAATACTGTTTATACCTCCGATCGACCTGAAGTAACAACCATTCGACATTAGACACAATAAGTAACACGACTATATCAAACAGAAAATAACAAAGTTCCACTTATACAAAGCTTCTTTCTGAAACAATGACAGAAAAGATTCAACTAGTACTCTTGCTGCAAGAGTTTCTCCGAAAAGCTTATACGAAAATGTGTTTACCTCATCAAACATGGACAGCAACTTTGTTAACTTGCTTTGTAATTCTTGTCTTTCAGCATGTGACAGCTCTCTTGGAGAGTTCTTGGAGGATTCTTGCTGGTTTGCGGGAAAATTCTTTGATCCCCCATCATCTTCCTCGGAATTCTTCATCCGATTATCTTGTGAGTTTCGATTTTTCCCTCCATCAGGAGGCTCTAGAGCCTTTTGAACATTAACAACTTCATCAAGCAGTTGTTGTGCAGCCTTGAGAAACTTGGAATCAGGAATAGCTCTTGTCACACTTGACATTCCATATGCAGACAATCCCCCTTTATTTGAATCTTGATTACCACCGGAAAAACCCAAACCGGGATTTCGATAAGGGATATGAATTCCAGAGGGGATTTGGGTACCAAGGCTTAAGGATAATCCTTGACCACTGTGAATGATGCTGGAAGTACTACCAGCCAGTGGCTGCATAGCCAGCATTTCATTTCTACCATCCCTCCAAGCACCAAATCCGTGCTCCCCGAATTGAAAGCCACCAAGGTTAGACAAGATCCCTTGATGCTGTGAAGTCCAAACTGAAGCTTCCACAGCCGGAATCTCGATGCAGTTGTTTTGCTGCTGAGAATTCCCAGCAAATGCACCAGAAAAGGACCCGGAACTCATATACAACATTGTATTACCAGGAAGAGCCGGTCCCTCAACATACGAACCCGGCATCGATTCTCTTAAATAGATCATCGGCGCCGTATCTCTTTGATCCTCGGAACCAGAGTAATAAGCAGCCATATTTCTCCGTCTTGAAAATTTCCTTGCTCCCGTACAGTCACGAAACGAACTGGAAACAAGCAATCGAAACGACTTACATCATGAACGATCTTGGGCAAATTTAAAAGGGAAAAAAACTGGATATTCTCTAAGCATAAAATGATTAGCAACAAAAAAAACCCAAAAAATCTGTAAATTCCCAAAAAATTCATAAACATATAAATAGAAAAAATACCTGGAAACCAGTAACAGTCGTTTGAGGTATGGGGAACAAAGAAATCTCAAAGACACCACCCGATCAGCTGAAACAAATCCTTAAGAAACCCAACACTTCAAAAAAGAAAAATTCTTTGGTGTTTGTTGCTCCAAATAATAAGTCAGCAATAAACGAATTATATCACCTTTTTTTGTTTGCTCCTTTTATTACCAATCATATGTTATCCATCCATCATTTCCATTCAAGCACCACGTGAGAGATTCACACATACATACTTAAAACTTTGAACCCTATGGCCTATATACCATGATAGCTTCCAGAGGTTGTTTGCTTTGAAACCCAGAAGTTGTAATACTTTTGTTTCTTTGAAAATTCTTACTATTTCTTCATCTTCCTCTTGTTTGGGTGTTGTTGAAGATATGTTTGGTTAAGGAGTTCTATCTCTTAACTAACAGTTGGTGAACCTAAAATTAAAAACCCTCCCTTGAACCCTCCTTCTCAATTCCCTTCTGCTGTCTCTCTCAACTTTCAGCATGACAACCTCTGGTTTTTCTTTTCCTTTTTCCCCTTTCTTTTGATGTTGCAATATCTATCCTATCCACCATAATACCCATATTAAATTCTCTCTCTCTTTCTACTTTCATTTTTTATATTTACTTTTTGGGTTAATTGCAAGATAATCCCAAGTTATATATTAAAAGGCATAATAGCAAAAACAATCCCAAACTTTTTACAAATAGTCACTTTACTTCCTATTATCTTTTTGAGCATTTTGACCTCAACATTTTATTTTGGGATAAAAGGTCTCTTCTTTGGATGAAAATAATTAGTTACAAATGGTAAACGCTCTAAAATATGAGCTTTTAACCCTAAAATAAAATGTTGATGTCCAAAATACTAAAAAAATAAAGTGACTATTTAGTAAATTGTTAGAAGTTCTTTTGCTTTAAAATAAAACATTAGGGCCAAATAATCAAAAAAATAAAATTGAAATGACTGTTTAATTAAACCTTAGGAACATCTTTTTATATTATACCATTTTAAAATAATCTCATAATTTTTAAAATGTACTAATTGAGTCTCATTGTATCTTATCATATCAATAAGATCTTTTTATCAACCTAAAAGAGCAAAAGTATGTTTAGTTTAATATATTCAGTAGTTTTCGTTTAGGTTAGGATCAAAATTTAAAAATGCAGAAATTAATGTTTGACATTTGGAAACGTGAAAGGCGAGGCAATAGGTACTGGTGTCACACTACACTGTCTTTTTTCCTCTAACTAATGTTTAGTTTAGATACTCTTAGGGTGCGTTTAGACGGGGAATGTGAGATTCTCATAGAAATGTAATTCATATTTTCTCGTTTGGTTAGCCCGAGAATCTCATTCCTGGTAATATAAGATTATCAATAGTAGATTTTTTGGGGTATATTATCGGGAATGTCATTACCTTATTTTCCTTAGGTATTATTGGATTACCGATGTTTTGGACTAAAATACCCTTAATTTTTTTCTTCAAAAATATCATTCTTCTGCATTGAATAATAAAAATTGTACGAATGTTAAATTATAAATTTATCCTTAAACTATTTTAGATTTACAAAAAAATTTATAATTAAAATTTTATATGAAGTTCAGGGGTTAAAATAAAATTTTACAATTTCATTAAACCTTTTTATATTTTCATTTTTGTAAAAAAAATGTATAAATTTTATGAATTTAAAATTTTTAAATAAAATATATAAATATTTTTCAACTTCCTAAAAAAACAAATATATAATAAGGATAATTTGGTCAAATATACATTCTAATAATCTTTTATTCCTTTAACCAAACATGATAATCTTACATTCCTGCTAAGCAAACCAAACACAAAATACAACATTTCCAGTAACTTATTCCCTGGTAATCTTACATTCTTACTGGTAATCTTACATTCCGTGAATCAAACGCACCCTTATGATTATATACTTTTCATTATTTATTCATTTATCCCTTTGTTTTTCCTTATTGCACCATTATGCTCATTCATTTATATATATGCAGATTAGTCACACAATTTTAGTCCTGGAATTTAGTAGTTTAGGATTGAATTCTGACTTATGCTCATTCTTATGTTTTAACGTAAGAAATTCAAGAAAATATATTTAATTGGATTAGACTATAAAATTTAAATAATAAAATAACATTCATAAACTTAACCAACTCAACTCTCCCACTCAACACGACTTTATCAAATACTTATCTTTACTTTTATTATATGCGTGATATCAAAATAGTCCCAACAATTATTAAAATAGTCATTATGATCCCTATTGTTTTTTAGTATTTTGACACTCAACATTTTATTTTAGGGTAAAATAGTCTATAATATTTGATTAAATAGTCATTTTGGTCCTTATTCTTTTTTTAGAGTATCTTCGTTCTCAACATTTAATTTTTAAGGTAAAAATACCCTTATTTTGGAGCGTTAACCTTTTTTAACTAACGATTTCTATTTATAGATAGATTTTTTTGTCCCAAAATAAAACGTTAAAGGTCAAAATATTCCAAAAAAAAAAGAAGTCAAAGTGACTATTTCGTTAGAATTAAAGGCTTTCTTCACATTTATACTTAAATTTTATTAGTACTTTAAAAATCTTTTATTGTATTCAGAATTCATTACTAAAAGAAAAGTTCAAACATAATTAAAGTATTCGAGAAATATTTCAATGACTTAAATTAGTTAAATATGTTGGATTTATTATTATTGTTATTATTATTATTATTATTATTATTATTAGTTTCTCTAACAAGAATATTAACCGATGAATAAAAAAAAATTATATTTGTGTTAAATTATTTATTTTTGTCCCATATAAGATTTGCGTGTGTTGAGTCACATTATTGAACAAAAACTATATTATATTTGTGTTTGGTATTTATTTATTTGTGAAATGTTGGAAGCAGCATCCAGTTAACAACCCCCACGTTTTTCATTATCGTCCTCACTACAAAAGAAAGCCTAATTAGACACATTGTTTCGCATACAAGGCAAACCTAAAAAGTCAATAATTGTGGCTTCTAAACAAAGGCCAACCCATACCACAAAACCTTATATGGGATTAGGACATTTTGTAGTTAAATTTGGTTTTCATCCTACTACCATGTACAAATTTATAATTTTGTCCCTCTATTTTTATTTGATGTAATCTAATCCCTTCACCTCTATAATGCTATTTGTTAACACAAATGGTTAATGGTTTTAATTGGCGTGTGTGTGTGTTTTCTATCAAAATCGTCCCTTCTATGTTCTAATTCATCTAGCTAACATGATTTCTTTTAGGCTCAAATGTTTGTTTAAATAATCATTTTAGTCTCCATTCTTTTTTAGAGCATTTTAACCTTTAACATTTCATTTTTTTTGGTTAAAATAACTCATGTTAGTTTATTAACAGTCGATGCATTTTGCTAACTTGACATTTACAAATGTGTTTAATTTATGACATATCACATGTCACATCACTAAAGTGATGATGTGACATATATTATATCACTCAAAATGATGTTGTGTTATATGTTATGTCAATAATCAAACACATTTGGAAATATTATCTCAACAACATACATTAACTGTTAGTCAATTAACAGTCTCCCTCCGATAGAGATTATTATTTTGATGTTTGAAACATTTGAGATTAAAATAAGGGTAAACTATACGTTTAGTACCTAAATTATCAGTTTTATTTTATTTTAGTACCTAAACTTTCATTTGTTTCAAAATCATATCTAACGCTTACTTTTTGTTTAATTTTGGTACATCGCCATTGAAAACATAGTGGAACTGTTACAACAAGGTACTTTTTATGGGTAAATTACATCATTCATAACTCAATTATCTTCTCACTCCTATTTTGGTCACTGAAGATTATTATTTTTAATTTAATTACATAACTTTCAAATTACTCCTAATTAAACCACTCTAACTTTCAATTTTTTTTTTTAATTTTAATTAAATATTAATAAAAAAAAGTCATGTCACAAAAATTATTAATATAACAAATAAGAGTGATTAAAATGCGAGCAATTTGAAAGTTGAGTAATTACATTAAAAAATTGTAAAATTTAGTGACCAAAATAGGAGTTAGAATATAGTTAAGCGATAAATGATAAATTTACCCATAAAAAATACCACATGAAACAGTTAAGTTAAGTTTTTAACGACGCGATACTAAAATGAAATAAAAATAAACATTAGGTGTGATCTTGAAACAAATGAAAATTTAGGTACTAAAATGAAACAAAAGTGATAATTTATATGCTAAACATTGTAGTTTACCCTTAAAATAAAATGCTTAAAAAATAATAGAGACTAAATTGACCACCTTAAAAACTAATTTGTCATTATACTTTTATGTGTATTGGTAGATATATTGTTAAGAGAAAACAATTATCAACAGTTTAAATAAAATAGTTAATATTTGACTGAATAATGGAATTCTAAAAGTAGAGAGAAGTGTAAGAGTTAAATCCTCAATTTGAGCATAAAACTAAAATTCAGCCTTTTGTAAATAACGGAGTTCATAGAACGAAGCTGAACAAAGAAACAAATAGAATGATCGTTCCTCACCCACAAATGTTGTATTCTAAGTGATACTCATTTGACGTCAATATATTTTATATATTCAGTTTTTTAGACATTTAATGTATTTGATAATATTATCTTGAAAAACACTCTTTCTTTTAATTATTTAGCAAAATACGTTTATGAATTATGACAATTTTTTATATGATTTATAATACAAATAAGTACTTAAAATATATCATTCTTTCATCTAAGTATTTAAAGTAATTTTTAAAATAAGTATTGATTTTTTTCCTGACATAATAGGTACTTAAATTCATAGTCATCTCGGACATTTTTTAGACCTTTAACGAAAACTCAAAAATAAGTTCCTATAGAATTAAAATATATTTTATTATTTTAAATAATTAATTTAATATTAAATTAATAAATCATAAAAATATTAAAAATTTTCAAATGTGATATTTTTATTATTTTATTAAGAAAACATCTTAAATACAATTAAGAGAAGAAAAATATAAAAATAATTGAACGTGAGTATGATATGGAGCTTGATTTTGAATAATAAAAAAAAATAAAGAATGATATATTATTTTTTCGTAGATTGAGATCGGAAAATATTAAAAGTTAAATAATATTTGATAAATTGAAGAATGAGATTCGAAGAAGAGAGAAAAATGAGAGTTGGAGAATGAGGTTCGAAGAATATAAAAAATGATTAACTTTAATTCAAAATTGAATGAATTAATAAGAAATGTGAAAGAATAAAGTAATTTTTTTAAAAATTATAAAATTAAGAAAAATTAAGGAACCTAATTATAAATATAAAATTTGAGAGGTCTCAACTATAAATATAAAAATTGGGGTCCTGAGCTACTGCTCAGGTGCTCCCCTAATGGTCGGTTCTGCTTAGAGTGTTCAATCTTTTCCATTAAGGGGGTGTTTGGATGAATGAAATCTACATTCTCCCGTTTGGTTAGCCCGAGAATCCTATTATCGGTAATGTAA